GTGGCTTCCTGTCTTCCCCAGGGAAGAGCCCAGGCCCCTGACTTCCTGTTTCCTCACCCCATTTGGCTGTCTTCCAGGAATTTCAAGCTCAACAGTTCCAAAATAGATTTCTCCATCCTTCATCCTTCTACCCTTAAAATCTGCTCCTCAGGCTGACAAGATACCTTGGCAGGGAAAAACACTTGCTGCCAAGCCTGACAACCTGAGTTCAACTCCTGGGAACCACATGCTGGAAGGAGAGACCCTACTCCTGAAAGCTGTCCTATGAGTGTACAAGTGTGTACTTGAAAACACACAAATTAAATAAACAAACACATAAATAGTATCCTAGTTAGTTTTAACTGTCAATACAGCCTGGAGTTACCTGAGAAGGGAGTCTCAATTGAGGGACTGAGCGGGTTAGATTGGCCTGTGGGCACATCTACTGCAAATATGGCTTAAGTTAGCTGAGTGCTCTCTTACATGCTTGACATCCTGGGTTCCATTTCCAGAACCACACAAAGCTGGCTCGTGGTGTGCTCCTGTAATCTCAGCTCTTAGGAGTTGGAGACAAAAGGATCAGGTTGTACACAGGGAGTTCAAGGACAGTCTGAGCTACATAGACCCTGTCTCAAAACAAAACAAAAACTCAGAACTAGTAGACAGACCTCTGTGGCCATGCAGTAGAGAGAGGGAGAGTCTGCGTGACATAATAAGACCAAGCATAGGGATGGCTAGCTGCTTCAGTGTGTGAAGCACTTGCTGGGCAAGATGTGATGATGGTTCGGCAATCCCAACAGAAGAGATAGAGACAAGACAATCCTTGGAACTCACTGGCCAGCAGTCTACCAGAACAGGCAAGCCCCAGGTTCAATGAGAGACCATATCTCAAAAAAGGAAGATGGTTGTGAGTTCCAGGCCAGCCTGGTCTACCCATGACTTCCAGGTCAGCCAGGATTACACAGTGAAACCCCATCCCAAAAACAAGAGAAAAAAAGATAGTAAGGTAGAGGAACTGGTGAGAGGGTTCAGCAGATGAAGGTCACTTGCCACCAAGCCTGAGGACCGGAGTTCTAGCTCTGGGATTCACATGGTTGGAAAGAGAATTCTAAGCTGTTCACCAAGGAGATCACTTTGTCAACAATTTTCTTTTCAACAACTTGTTTTATAGTTGATTTAAAAGAATCTCTTTCTGGGTTCCATTTGGTTTGGGGACCAGAAGTTGTAAATTTCTAATTTTTAAAGCTACTCATATTTGTTTGATTAATTCTAGGACCTGACAATGAAGAAAGAACATGAGGTTCATGGAAGTTTCTAGAACAGTAGGAACCCCAGATGTATCTTTATTCCCTACAGTACCCATGTGCTTTGGGAGGAACCCTAACAAAAATTATCTCAGAAGTGTCTAGTCTAAAACTTTTTTAAAAAGAAGCTAGGTGTGTGCATGCCTTTAGTCCCAGCATTAGGGAGGCAGAGTCAGGGGAATCTCTGTGACTCAGCCAGTCTGGTCTACAGAGTGAGATTCCAGGAGTTATGACTACAGGAGAGACCCTGTCTCAAAACAAAAACTTTAAAAAGAAAAAAAAAAAATGGAAGCTAGTCTTCAAGAAGGCCAGTGGCCATCGGGATGCAACTCAGTTGTAGAGTGTGAGCCCGGCATACATGAAGTCCTGGGTTTGATCCCTAGCACAGTGTATACCATGTATGGAGGTACACCTTTGTTAGCTCAGCACTGAGCAGGTAGAGGCAGGAGAATCAGAAGTTCACACTTGGGACTGGAGAGATGGTTCAGTGGTTAAGACAACTGGATTGCTCTTCCAGAGGGCCTGGGTTCAGTTCCTAACACCCACATGGTGACTCATATGGCTACCAGGGATCTGACACCCTGTCCTGATCTTCTGGCTCCTGCACACACATCAGACACATAATCTCACATAGGCATATATAGACACATAAAAATACATGTAAAATTAAATTTAAAAAAGAGGACAAACTTCTTGCTCATCTAATAGCACATGTGCTTTATTAGGATAAAGATTTGGCTCAGTGAGAGAGGACCTGGGGCTGGGGAGATGGCTCAGTGGGCAAAGCACCTACCTTGCAAGCTGAAGGACCTGAGTTCAATCTCCAGAACTCATGTTAGGAAACCTGGCATGGTGTGTTCCTGAAATCCCAGCCATGGCAGAATAAGGAGCCGAGAGAACTGGACTCCTGGAAGTCACAGATCAGCTAGCCTGGCCTACAATGCAAATTTCAGACGAATGACAGACCCTGCCACAAACAAAGGTGAAAGGTACCCTTGTCCTGTGACCTCTGAATGCCCCTGCATGCACACACACACACACACACACACACACACACACACATACACCAGCCTCAGACTGCTGCCTCTCCTCAGTGTGGCTGAAGAGAATCCAGAGACTATCTCAGAATATCTTCCTGTCCTAAATGTGGCTGGAGAATGAATGCCTGATACTGACTACTGAAGACCCTGCTCCTATCCTTTATAACCTTCTAGTGCTGGGATTAAAGGTATGTGATCCCAAGTGCTGAGATCATCTTTGTGTGATCTGTTTCTCTTTAGGACTGGATCAATCTTGTGTAGATCTGGGTGGCCTTGAATTCACAGAGATCTGTCTACCTCTTAATCCTGACTCCTAGGATTAAAAGTGTGTACCACCACCTCCTATCTTTCTGGCTGCTGGGATTAAAAGTGTGTATCACCACTGCCTGATCTCTATAGCTTGAGGCTGGCTTTGCTTTCTGAATCCCCAAGCTTTAATAAATCATAAATAATATATCACAAACACACACAAAAAAAACTCCTGTGCTGGGGGGAATAGCTCAATGGTAGAACCTAACACAAGGTCCTAGGTTCAATCCTCAGTCCTCAACAGCTTGGGAAGTGGGGTTCTAGTATTCTGTTCTCCTGCAGACAATTCACAGAGTTCCACCCCAATAGTTCTGGTTGTTATTACAGTGTCTCCAGCAAGATGGTCCCCACATTCAGAAATGAGGTGAATGGGGGTGGGATTTAGTCATAGAACCCAGAGAGGTTCGCCATTGATGGAATGAGGCAACACAAACCTCCCAGGCTTCAAACTTTTTATGGAACCTTAAGCCATCATCCCCAAATCAGGAATCTTGAAGAACGAAGACCATTTCTTCCATCTTTTGTATATGAGTATACATAGCTGTGTACTTGTGTTGTAGTGCTCTGCACACATGTACTCATGCATGTTGAGGCAGAAACACATATTAGGAACCACCCTCGCTCTAAGCCAGAGCTCGCTGAAGAGGAATCTCAGCCGCTGGCCCACTTTCTCCAAGGATCCCATCTCCACCTTCCCATGCCAGAATTTCAAGCAGGCTGCTGTGCCCACTGGGCATTTATTTGGGCTCTGGGGATCCAAACCCCAGTCCTTATGCTTGCAAGGCAAGTGCTTTAACCACTGAGCCATCCTCCTAGACTAAGACTCAAAAATTTTGAGGCTCCATCCCCAGCACCAAATCAAACAGACAAAACACAAAGAAGGGACCACACCTCTACTTCCACTGTCTACCACGAACTCTCCAGATTCCACTTAAGGTTCCAATTCCCATTTTCCTGTCTTTATGTGTCTAGGCCCCATTTTCCAAAAGCCATTCAGTAACTCAACCCACACCTTCCCCACACAAATTCCTGGAAAAACATGTCCTCGGGCACAGTAAAACCCTGCAGGGATCTCAGAGAAAAGCAGCCAGTAATTGGAAAGGAAGAGGAGGAGCTGGGGTGTCCCATTGGTGGAGAGAGAGAGAGAGAGAGAGAGAGAGAGAGAGAGAGAGAGTTGTGTGCCTAGCCATGCAAGGCCCTCACCCAACTCATGGGGTACAAGCAAGAACATCAGAAGTTCCAGGTCACTCTCATTACAAATCAAATGGTAGACCAGCCTGGGCTACAAAAGACCATGTCTCACACACACACACACACACACACACACACACACTAAGTTCCCAAACCAGTGTCCAACCTTGGTTCAAGTTCCTGGTTCTTCCCAATATTCAGCACCTCTTTTCATGGTCCCCAAATGCCACAACATTCCCACCACAATCCAGGCTTTAGAAGCAATGCTTTGATGTGTTCTCAGACTTGACACACAAGAATCTTGCTCTTATTTAAAGCAAGCTTCACTGGCACATCTAACACAGGCCTTCCCCTCTGATAAGCCTTGTTCATTCAAACTTATGAAAAGTGATTAGGAAATCAAGGCAGAGCAAGGGTTCTCTGTCTACAGGAGTTAAGGCAAATCAAAGAATAATCTGTCCACTGGAGACTCCAGATCCTGTCTCCAGAAGAACACCCTGATAACATCAAAGTTCCAAGGTTCTAGTATTCACTTGGAAATGAACACAGTGGGAGGAAGGACGCTGCTGTGGGTGTGGCGCTCTCTGGGGCTCCAGGTAGGAGCCATGCACCAGGAGCCAAGATGCCGGGCCAGGAAAAGCCCTTCAAGCCACCGTGCTTCTAGAAGCCACCTTCGATGCTAGTCACGCTCCGAAAGGCATTTGGAAGACAGGATCAAAAAGTAAATTCACAACCAACCAAGCCCCTTCCGAACTTCAGGAACCCAGCCCCCAGGTTACCCAAAGTACAAGTTCCTACCTTTAAGAAAGAAGTTTGGGCAACATTTTATCGCTCAGAAAGGCACTGAGGAAGTGGACCAACTCAAGCGGGAGGCCCGAAAAGGCAGGAAGTGGTCATTTGTGGGAAAAGGGAAGGACGGGCGTCAAAGGAAGAGAAACTGGGGCGCCTCCCGCATGTCCTCAGCACCCCCAGATCCAGCTGGGAGGCCCTCCAGCTTTCCCAGGGGACACCTCCCAAGCCAAACGGGGCGCGGCCCGGGGCGTTGTCCTTCAGGGGACATGTCCCTCCCTCCCAACGTGGAACCAGGAGGCCCGCGATCACGCGGGGAGCGCACTCACTTCCCTATACCAGGGCGCACCCAGCTCCTAGGGTCCCCTGCGGCGCGCGGCATCCTTACCTGGGAAACCAGTCCCACCGCCGCTCTGGCCGTGCGCACAACCAGACTCGCCGCTCTCACGCGCGCCCCGCCCCGTCCTGGGGCCGGACCCCAGCTGTCCCCAGTCGATTTGTCATTCAGCAGTCGTGAGCTTGCGTCCCCACCCCCTGGAGCGCGTTCCCGCTGTCAGCGAGGCAACCCAAGCCTCTCCTGAGCCGGCCCTCCCTTCCGCTCCCCGAGGCCACGCCTACCGACCAATCCAAAGCGGTACAACCAAACTTTCACCAATGAGAAAGCGTCTTGAGTGTAGGGGGTGTGGCCCCATAGAACGGCTCCTCCCACCCCTCCTTCCTTTTGGCTTCTCCGCGGGACTAGCGCACGTGACCGCTGCTGCAGTGGCGGAGCTTGGGAACTGGTCTGGGGACGCCAGGCGTGGGCGGGTGTACTCCTAGGGAAGCCAAAGCGAGGCCAGAGTAGTGAAGAAAGCCAAGAAGGACAGAGATGATAGACAGAAGCCAATGGGGAGGACGAGGTGGCCAAGTGTGGCCTGCGCCCTGGTGTGGAAGGGAACAAGCAGTTCTGGAGACCCTTGGCCAAAAGTTAGAAACCCAAGGTGGCGCCGCCTCTAGCTTGACCTATGACATTCTATTAGTAAAGGAATTACAGCTGTTAACTTGACCTAGGTCACAAGCAAGGGACGGAACCTTAACTCAAGTCATAGCCTGCGGCAAGAACTACAGACAAGCTGCCCTGCCATCACCTTCCCACGCCCAGGAGCTTCTAAGTTTCTATCTAATAGGATTTCGACTGGGGTTGATTTTCCTAGCTGAACCCTAGCCACCTCCCACCACCACATTTGTGTGATACCCTACTCGTCCCCATACAAACTCCTTGGCGCGTTTCTCTGTATGGCAATTAATAATTCAACGCCTGTCTCTAATCTTTAAGGAGGGAAACAGTGATAACAGTAACCTGCACTGTGTAATTACTCTTGTTGATAATTCTAAATTAGGATACATGTATATTATATCTGAGGCTTTGTGCTTTGTTTAAATGGTTCCATACGAGCAACTAACAGACCCAGTCCTCCCACTGACGACAGCATGGGGAGAAGCAGAGTCTTGGAGTCTTGGGGCAAGCCAGATGGCTAGAGGGAGTAAAGGCACCTGCAGAGATGCATATAGCCTCAACCTGAGTTAGACTCCTGGGATCCACATAATGAAAAGGGAAAACTGGCTCCCTCAAGTTGTCCTCTGACCTCTATCTCTGTCTCTGTCTCTCTCTCTCTCTCTCTGTCTCTCTCTCTCTCTCTCTCTCTCTCTCTCTCTCACACACACACACACACACACACACCACACAGATAGATAGGTGATAGATAGATACATGCAAATTTAAAAGATTGCTTTAAAAAGAAAGATACAGCTGGGCGGTGGTGGCCCACGGCTGTAGCACTCAGGAGGCGGAAAGCAGAGGCAGGCAGATCTCTGTGAGTTTGAGGCCAGCCTGGTCTACAGAGTGAGTTCCAGGACAGTCTCCAGGCTCCAAAGCTACACAGAGAAACCCTGTCTCTAAAAACAAAAAAGAAGAAGAAGAAGAAGAAGAAGAAGAAGAAGAAGAGGAGGAGGAGGAGGAGGAGGAGGAGGAGGAGGAGGAGGAGGAGGAGGAGGAGGAGGAAGAAGAAGGAAGGAAGGAAGGAAGGAAGGAAGATATAAAAACAGCCAGTACCCTAAGGGTGGACTAGAAAGCTGCTTTTTAAAAAAACAGATTTATTTTATGTGCATGGTGTTTTACCCACATTGCATGTATGTACACCATGTAGGTGCCCAATGCCCACACAGGGCAGAAGAGGGTGTGGATCCCCTGGAACTGGAGTTACAGGTGGTTGTGAAGCATCGTGTGGGTGCTGGGAACTGAACATCTGCAAAAGCAACAAGTGCTGTTAACCGCTGAGTCATCTCTCCAAACCCTACAGGAGGCATCTTAAAACATCGTGCAGAGTTCATAACCTGGGAGAATCACACTGAAGCCTGTTGGAGTCAGGAAGTGTAGGCTAAAGGAGAATGAATGCCTCCATGTAGCTAGCATCACTTGATTAGAGTCACTAAGCTGCCTGCACTGCATCTGTTTCCCTGCTAGCCAGCTGGAGCAGTGCCTCCGAGCTGTAGGTACATGGGGTTAGTAAGGTTACACATGGAGATGGCAAGACAAACACAGACATGAACTTCCACAGTGAGGGACAGCAAATGTTACCTCAAAGGCTCCCATGTGTATGAAATTCTTCCTCAGGCAGGCCCCTTGGATGATCCCCTAGCTCAAACAGTAAAGCTGTCTGTCTATCCACAAGTGAAAGGAGTAGCTCAGGAGACAGTCAGGAGCTGGATCACAGACAGGCCAGAGTTTCCCTGTGTCCGGTCCTGTCTCCCATCCACCCGATGCCCTGCCATGTAGCCTCACAGGCTCTGACCCGCCTTTCCTGGGTCAGAGTGTGTGACTGCTGTTCCTTACCCTTACAATCAGGATGCACTGGGCTGTATGAAAGGCTGACTCATGCTCGGCCCCTAGGATGCATGAATTCCACCGGGACCCCATCAGCAGAGTCATGCTCAAGGTCTCTCAACATACCAAGCCCCGCAGGAGACTGATAGATACCGGTGGGTGCAGGGGCTCTCACACAGGACATGTGCCCTGCTGTGGAAAAGGTACTGAGATGCCTCATGCCAGGTGTCAGGTGGGCCCTTGTCCTCCATGCTGCTTCTTCAGGAACTCTGATCTTGGCAGAGCCAGGGGTCTCAGCAGCAAGAATACATGGCACCCAGGCAGACCAGTGAGGTCCCTCTAATCTAGAAGAGATGAACACACCCTCCTTCAGAAGCATTTGCTGAGCACTGTGAGCAAATTCTATGCTGACTGATAAATGTTCTCCTCCCCCCAGTTCAGGTAACACTGAACTTCTTGGTTGGCTGGGGCCTACTCATGACTATTGGGCAAAAATGGCACATCTGTCATTTCTAGACTGAGGGCTGTACTTCAGTTGGTAGAGTGCCACCTCTAGGGCAGGATCAGGAATGGGTCCTTCCAGGGAGGAGGAAGGGAGCTGTACCAGTGGCGAGGACTCTTCCCTCTGGGCAACCCCAGCCCTAGGGCCTTCCTGCTGGGAAATGGTAGTCAGTGAGTTTGCTCCCTGTGCCTTCTCTAACAGGACTGTAGTGGTGATGCGTATAGGACCTTTTGGTCCCTACTTGAGTGTGGCACCTAGGGCTGACCTTCCCATGACTCAAAAGCTCAGGTAGAGAGAGGTGTGGCTGAGGGAACATGGAGATTACATTCTGATGGAGACCTTGGAATGATCTAGAACCAAACTGGATAGACCTGCTGCTTCTCCTATTGAGGGGTAGTTTACTGTGACTTTGGAGCCCCAGAGACCTGGCATGCAGCTCTCAGGCCTGGTGGCAGGGGTGGTGACATTGGTAAAGTTCTGCTTTACAAGCAGGAGGACCTAAGTTCAACCATCAGAACCCATGTGTTTTTTGTTTGCTTTTAAAGTTTGGCGTGATGGCACACATTTGTGATCCCTGTGCTGGGGATACAGACAGGAAGATTCTTGGGGCTCACTAGCCAATCATCCTAGTCTACTGGGTGAGTTCTAGATGCCAGTGTCTCAAAATGAGGTGGCCTGGGGCCGGAGAGGTGGCTCAGAGGTGAAGAGCACATGCTGCTCTTGCAGAGGACCTGGGTTCCGTTTCCAGCACCCACATGGTGGCTCACAAATCCCTGTAGTTCCAGTACCAGGGGACCAGATCCTCTCTTCCGACATAGTCAGGCTTCTGTGCACACAAAGTGCAGATATATACGTTAAAGTACACACCACATTATATATAACATGTGTGCGCGTGTATGTGTGTGGTGCCTGAGGAATGACAGCTGAGGTTGTCCTCTGGCTTGCAACCTCTTGTGAATGCACACTCATGTATATATATATACATACACACACACAGTGACACACATAGGTGAATAAATGAATAAGTAAATAAATAAATAAAACAGCTGCAGCCGGGTGTTGGTGGTGCACGCCTTTAATTCCAGTACTTGGGAGGCAGAGGCAGGCAGATCTCTGTGAGTTCAAAGCCAGCCTGGTCTACAGAGCAAGTTCCAGGACAGGTTCCAAAGCAATACAGAGAAACCCTGTCTCGAAAAGAAAAAAGAAAAAAAAAAAAAACCAGCTGTCAACACATGCTGTGTGACCGCCCCCCCAGGGAAATCTCTTCACCTCTCTGAGATTTATCTGTATGCTGCAGTCCAGGTCCACCCTCTGTACCAAGAGAGCCCACCACCTGACTTCTACTATTTAGTGCACCACCCAGCCTCCTCTCTCCCAGCCCCACCCTGCTTCTGAACAACTCCACATCCCATCCCACACACACACATTTAGATACCGGACTAGAGGGAAACCCTTGAAGTTGAAGGATATCAGCCCTCCCCTTTCTGGCCCAGGCTGACTCAGTCTAAAGGGAAAAAACAGCCTCGTGGGCAGAATCCCCATCCTTTCTTTGTTTTCTAGCTTCCGGGGAAACACCAGGTTCCACGGTGCTTTCCTTCCTGACTCCCCCACCCTCCTTCCAGAAATCCCCCAACTGCTGCCAAGCTTTGACACAAAGAGAAAGTTTAGAACTACGGCCCCTGTGTGGTCACCTAGGCCACAAGTCCTCCCTCTCCTGGTGACACAGGAGAGGAGTAGGCCAGACCCGGGGAAGACCTTCTGAGGAGGGCTCATTGGTTACCTATGATAAGGATGCTTTAGGCATTGAGGGCCCTGGCCAGGCTGGGTCCGCCTCAGCGTGGCATTAACTGAGCTTGGTGGAGCCTACCTGTGATCCCTGTGCTTGTGAGGTGGAGGCAGGGGGTCAATAAGTTCAAGACCTCAGCCAGAGGAGGAAAGTATGGTGGAGGCACCTGGAGACAGAGTCTGGCACCTGATGGGCATGTAGGAGACAGTTCTTTCTCTCCTTGGCAGCTGTTGGGCAATAAACCCAGAAGGGAGTCACACCCACCTGGGGCTTGGGAGGGGAACCAGGAGAGCACAGCACCTGAAGGGCCTCCTCCCTCTTTGCTGAATTCAAAGGCTGGCCACACCAGACTTACCTCCACCCAAGGTGGGAGTGGGGGATTTGGGGGTGAGGG